AAAAACCTAAAATTTAAGTTCCCCTACTATGGAGAAAATACTTGAGCTACAAATGAGGGAGGCAGATCAAAAAGACTCAAAGAAAAATGAATCTTTTACTATTTTGTTTTATCAGTGACATTTTGGACCGATCCACGGGGTACTAATCAAAGTCACACTACTCAGAAAAGATCAGTGCCTGCTCTAGGCATGAAATAGGCATTTAGTATGCTTTGACTCTCTGATGTAGGCTCTAATAAAATTATAAGGTATATAAGGAACAAATTAGTGAAATAACATTTTATGAAAATTAGCAATATGTAACAAGTCTTAAAAACATTCTACTCTGACTCAGTCACTTTACTTATAAAAATGTAAAATATCAGACACAGTGAAGATAATTTAAAAAAATGTTAACTAACAGGAATAGGTGGTTTTTTGATTTTTTTTTTTTTTTTTTTTTTTTTTGAGGCAGGATCTTACGATGTAGTCCAGGCTGACCTTGAATTTATACCCATCCTGCTGCCTCAGTCTCCCAAGTGCTGGGATTACAGGTGTGTGAACAAGAATAATTGGAACAATCTTATATCATTTATAGTGCAAGTGATACAAAATCCAACAAAATGTTGTATAAATCATAACTCCACTTAAATACCACATAAAAGAAGAAGTTTGGAGATAAAGTGTCCAGGTTTAATGGACTGGCTCAATATGGTCCCCAGAAAACCAGGTCTCCCATTACTTTGATCAGGGATTGACAGCAGATCTGCCTTTTTCTTCCTAGTTTTGGCATCAAATCTACAGCCTCATGCATGGCAGGCAAGAGCTTTACCACTGATAGCAGATCTGTTTCTCATCCTTAATTATGTTACATCCTCTCAGCCACCAAATAGCTGCCACAGGATACAGAAGGACATCTGTAAGATTTCATCATGTAAAGTCCTTTTCATCCAGAAAGAAAATGTGCCAAAAACAAATCAAAAAACACACAACACAGTTTGTCTCACATGTTACTAGGTGAAAGAGGATCCCATGTTTTCCCCTAGAGCCATTCCATGTGACAAGAACAAGATTTGCCTTTAACTAGTTCAGATCAATCAGAATTCATTCCCAGGGCTGAGCTAAACGCTTCAAGTCAAGGGTTCTCCCTGAAACCTAATCCTATTTATCTGGAATAAAATAGGAATTTTTTAGGGAAAAAAAAAAGGAGGGAAAAGGCCAGCAATAAGCAATACCTGGTATAAACCTAGTAACCTAAAAATAAAGGAATAGTAAGATAAATTATGGCATTATACCATTAACTATACTATCAGAGAAAATTTAATGGTAGAGAAAAATGAATTTAATACAGCATTTAGTAGAAAGAAATATACATTGCTCAGTGTGATGGACAGGCCTGTAATCATAGCACTCAAAGCTGAAACAGGAGGATCTTGGTGAGTTTCAGGCTAACTTATATAGTTCAAGGTCATTTTAAACTACATAGTGAGACCTTGTCTCAGAGACCACCTCCCAAAAAAAGAAAACCACAAAATGATTCCAATTTTATTTAAAAACCAAATACATGCAAATATATATAAAAAAGATTGCAAAAAAAAAGTGTCAGGGCTGGGAGTATAGTTCAGTGACAGAGTATACGGCTAGCACGCACAAAGCTCCAGTTCAATCCCCAGCACCACAAAACTAAATAAATCAGTGATTATCTCTGATTTATAGAAAGTTTTGCTTTCTTAGATTCTGTATCTCCCAATTTTTCTACAAAAAAACTGAGCTATTTATAACAATTTTTTTAGGGATTCCATGATCTTATTTTCATCTAGTTGAAAAAAAAAATACCACAATTATGGTCACTGAAACATCGGTAAAAATTATCTTTTATGTATATATACTTGTATCATGTTGCTCTAAGCTGTGGTGCACAGAAGCGTTTAGATCCTTAGTGACTTATAAAATTGAAGGATTTCTAAAACTAGATACATCTCACAATTTGGTTTTAAAATCTGTGTAAAATAGTATTGTTTATACAAACTCTTACTTATTCATTCCTTTAAAAATACTGAGTGCCTACTACGTGTCAGAAGAGTGTGCCAGAAGTCAACACTGTTGGATTGAGGACTTTTCATATTATACTGGAAGATCTACTTGTAAGTATACCTTTCTACCTTTTCAATTAGCTTGCCAACTCCTTCAGAGAACATGAATCTCCCTCTCCCTCTTTTTTTCTGGAGTGTGTGTGTGTGGTGCTGAGGACTAAACTCAGCACTAAGCTGTATCTTCGAACCTTTTTTATTTTGAGACAACCCACTAAATTGCCCAGGCTGAATTCAAACCTGCAATGTTCCTGTCTGAGCCTCCCAGAGTTCTGAGATTATAGACTTAGGTTACCATGCCCAGCTAGGACTTATTCTTTATTTTGCTCCTATATAGTTTGCCATAAAATTAGAACTCATCAAGAAATTTTGTTGATAAGCAAGGAAAACAATGCATAAATCAAGAGCATGCTGAATATGGCATATGTATATAAAATTCATTGTGGATTTTTTTTTCCTTTAGACAGTGTCTCCCTACATAGTGCCAGCTAGATTTAAACTCACTGTGTAGCCCAGGCTGGTTTGAACTCATAGAGATTCTCCTGCCTCAGCCTTCTGAGTGCTGGGACTATAGACATGTATGTGCCACCATACTTAGCTCATTGCAGATTTTTAAAAAGTGCTGTACTGAGTGTATTGCTGAATTTAAACTCTATGAGCTAAAGTCAAGTATGGTAGGACTTAACTGCAGTCTCAGCTCCTTGCAAGGCTGAGGCAGGAGAACTGCTTGTACCCACGAGTTTGAGACCATCCTGAACAATACAAAAGACCTTATCTCAGGAAAAGCAAAATAAAACAAACCTAAAGGCAGGAGAGAGAGATCCACAGTAAAATGTGTGCTTAGCATGGGGAAGACATGAGTTTGATTCCCCAGTATACGAAATTAACTGCATTTTTAAATTATACAAGTAAACAATCAGAAGATAAGTTGTCAGCATTATGTTTTAAAAGTTGGTTCATTAGGCTGGGGATGCAGCTCAGCAGCACAGTGCCTGCCTGGCAAGTGCAAGGTCCTGAGTTAGATTCCCAGTATCCACCAAAAAAGCTGGTTTACTAAATAACTAAAAATGCAGTAAGTTCTGTATTCTCTTTTCAGCCTCTGATACTTCCTCATGCTAGAAAACACACAAGAAATAAATTTTAGCCAAGCATGGTGGTGCACGCCTGTAATCCCAGGACTTAGGAGGCTGAGGCAGGAGAATGGCCATGAGTTCAAGACCAGCCTGGGTTATATCTGAAGTTCAAAGTTAGCCTGAACTACATAGCAAGACCCTATCTCCAAAAATAAATAAATAAAAATTGTTTTCCCAATGTATCATTTAAACTTCTGTACTTCTGACTTCCTGTCTATTGAAATATGACAGGAAGACTGCTGAACACTTTTGATGATCTAATCCGCAAGGACAAACTCTACCCATACACAGTGCCTAAAAGAGGCGGCAAGCATTTACTGAGCTGCAGGAAAATGTGTAGTAGGGAAGATGGATATATTTTCTTAGTTTATACCATTAACTTTTTTTTCCTGTCTTTTGAGACAGGGTCTCCTTATGAGGTTCAGGCTGGTCTTAAGTTCACTTTGTAGCCCAGGCTGGTCTCAAATTTGCAATGATTCGCCTGCCTCTGCCTCCCAAATGCTGGGATTATAGGTGTGTGCACCACGCCCAGCTATATCATTAACTTTTATCCTCACATTTTACATAAAATGACTTTTAAGCATTTTGAGGCAGAACTTTTCTAATACATGAGTTCAGTTTGCTTATCTAACAAAGGAAAAAAATCCATTTATGTTGTTTCATATTTTTTCTGTGGCTTCAGAACAGCTGATGTTCCTGCAAGCACTGGATGAGATGCATGCTTATATTTAGTAGTGATGCTACTGAACAACAAACCTTCACTACCTGGAATACAGTACAGTGAGACTCTTACATTATGAGAGGCAGGCAGACTAAACGCAGTAAAAAACAGCAAGCAGACACAATTTCTTATTTCCTGTAGTTGGGGCACATTACAAATTTGATTACCTTCACTGTCTCAAAAGTTTTTCAACTTTTTTTTTTTTTTTGCCTTTTTCATTTTTATCGGTACCAGCGATCGAACTCATGACTGGCTGCTTGCAAGGCAGGCACTTATGCCGCTGAGCTAAATCCCCAGCCCCGAAAAGTTTTTCAACTTTTGAAGCAGTGAACATTAAGTATGAATGTGCTGCGGTCCCACAATACTCAAGTCCTTGGATTAAGTTCTACAATAGTTTGATCCTTTTATAGATAAAAGCTTTTTTTATGTTAACCACACTCCCCTCATTCAATTCTCAAAATACATAAATTGTTCTCATTAACTGCAGTTCATTTTTTCTCTTCAGCAAATATTTGAGAGCTTACAATGTACAACAGTACCAAAATTAATCCTACAATAAGACAAGTGCCTGCTTATTAATTCTAGCTTTTTTTTTTTTTTTTTTTTTTTTTTGGTACTAAAGATCAAATTCATGACCTCGCACTTGCCAAGCAGGCGCTTATGCTGCTGAGCTAAATCCCCAGCCCAAGTGCCTGCTTATTTACCACTGGCAGTTAATCTGAAAGTTAATTTAGTTTAACAGCTTATGGTTTTGTAGTTAAGGTCAGCCAACCTAAATCAGGTTTTGGGTGAAAAGCAATGTATATCTTTATAGACAGCTTGAAAGAAGAAAGGTTAATAAACATTTAACTTATTTTTAAACTGGATTTATTAAGTCTTCCATATGCCAGTTTTTTTACTTGTTTAAAATAAAATACTTTTTTATATTATGGAAAACATTTCTCTATTGCTTTAACTATTGAAAGTAACAAAGTTTATAAATTCTATCAGTGTTCACATTTTAATTTCTTCCAGAGAATGGACATTTTTTTTCCCTAAGGCAAATGACAGGTCTGACAAATCCACGTTAATTTTTACCTCTATACTGAAATAGCCTCTGTCCACATAGTCACCGAGAAAGAGGTAGCGCGTGCAAGTAGGCGATCCCCCGACTTCAAACAGCTTCATCAAGTCAAAGAACTGTCCATGAATGTCACCACACACTAGGCAAAAAATGATATGTCAGAGGAAAAATTATGTCTTAAAAGAAAAGGCCTTATACCAGTAAGAATCATAGCTTAACTTTTAATTTAAATCATGTTAGTTTTTTATTGGATTGAATAGAATTATAGTTGATCTCTGGATACTAAGTAAGTTGTATTGGAAATACTAGACATTTAAAATTTTATTTTTTCAAGGGACAAAAAATCCTAGCTAAATCTGAGACTGTCTCAAAATTTGTAGAAAACTGATCATATCGCATTTTAGTTGATTATTTGTAATCATTTCTCAAGATGAGCTCACAACTAGGGCCATCATGTGGATAGTTCACATACCTGTGACTGGGGCATCCACTTCTATCATAGTCTTCTCTTGTCGCAGGATGGCAGCCCCATCATTAATTATCTTTAAAGCTACATCCTCTTCCAGTCGGCCTTCCTTGACCAAATGGTTTTTCAAAACATCAATTTTAGGTTTCCCATTCTCGAATACTTCCTTCAAATTAAGTCGGTGGGTTGGAGGAAAAGGGACAGCTAGGAAGAAAAAAAACAATTTAACATACTTAAATGTAATAATCATGAACACACTTCTTTTATGTGACAAATTAAACCTAATAAATCACCTAATTTCATATCTATAGCTTTATTACTATGAGGAAAATTTCTAATATACGATATATCATAAGTGATCAATTCCAATATTTGAAAAGTTCACAGTTAAAGTCATTTTGCAAGTATGTACATGTATAAAATTTAATGTTTTATATGTAAACATGAAAGACTTGGAATCAGGGAACAATCTTAAAGTATAATAAAGTATTGAAGAGTGATGGTGACTTTCCTTGGAAAAGGTGTTTAAAAAATAAGGTGTTAAAAAATTGTGGGATTAGGAGTTTAATTTAGTGGGAGGATGCTTGCCTAGCATGTTTGATCTTCAGCACTGAAAAAGAAAGGGGCAAGGGGAGAAAGGCAGGAATAAATAAAGAGACAGGGAGGAAGGAAAAGAAACAATTATTAAAGAAAATAAAAATAGGGCCAGGGAGTTAGCTCAGTGGCTTAAGCACTTGCCTGGTAAGTGCAAGGTCATGAGTTTGATCCTGAAACCCCAGTACCAAAAGAAAAGAAATGGTAAATAGTATGCAGTGGTCCAAATCTGTAATCCCAGCTACTTTAAAGGCTGAGACAGAAGGATTACAAACTCAAGATCAGCCTGGACAATTTAGCAACTCTGTTTTAAAATAAAATTTTAAAAGGGCTGGAAACCCAGTGGTGCGTCCCTGTACTCCCAGCACTTGAGAGGTTGAAGCACAAGGAGTCATTAGTCTGAGGCCAGCCTTCACTGCATAGCACAACCCTGTCTCAATCAATCAATCTAAATAAATAAAAAGGGTTAGGGAGGTATATTGCTTGCCCACCATGCACAAGGCCCTGGGTTCAATTCCTAGTACTACAAAATAATCAAAAGCATCATCATCATCTGCTTCTTCTTCCCTCTAGTACTACTCAGTTGTAATTAGAGGACAGTTTGCAAAGTAAGAAATCATTTTCCTTGTATATCACAGAAGTAATGTAAGTAGAGATGATAACCTAAAAAATTCTGGAAGAAATAATTCAGAGAATTTTTCCCTCCCCCTCAGGCTCCTCAGTTGCAATGTATTTAAAACAATGCAAGTAAGCAAGTCAATTAGTAAATAAAAGCAAACGCAAGGTTGAAATGAATTAAGGAGGTTAAGATCAAGTAAGAGAAATAAGGACAGCGGGGCCAGGAAACTAAGAGTAATTACAGGAGGAAGAACACTAAGAGGTAAAAATGTATAACGTTAAGTCCCAAGAGTCTAAGTCTTAGGTTAAGGCAAATAAAAGCAATATCCTCCAACCCAAAGAAAAACAATCTCCTATTTTATTACGTATGTATTTATTACAGTACTGGAGATTGAACCCAGAACCCCAGATCCTTCACCCTGAGCTCCAATCTCAGCCCTTGTATTTTATATTTCGATACAGGTATCACCAGATTGCCAAGTGGCCCAGGCTAGGCTTGAACCTGTGATTCTCCTGCCTTAGCCTCCTGGAGTACTAAGATTGTAGGCCAGTCACCACACCTGGCTACAATCTCCAATTTTATTTTATTTTATTTTGGTCTTTTTGAGACAGTGTCTCATTATATAGTTCAGACTGACCTTGAGCTCACTTTGTAGCCCAGGCTAACCTCAAACTTGCTATGATACTCCTGCTTCAGCTTCCCTAGTGCTGGGATCACAAGAGTGCACCACCAACCCTGGCTCAATCTCCAATTTGAAAGAAACAGATTCCATCTCCCGTCTAGTGAGTCATAGCTATGTTAGGAAACCTTAAATTCAGTGTATGTGTGTGTTGCTTGTGTTTCTGTCTTGTCTTTTTGAGACACAGTTTTGCTATGTAGTTTAGGCTGGCCTTGAACTTTGCAGCAGCACAGGCTGGCTTGAAACTCACAGCTGTCCTCCTGCCTTAGCCTCCCCAGTGTTGGGATTATAGGCGTGTGCCACCATGCCAGGCCAAGAAGTCCTAAATTCTTTTTTTCTTCTGCATAATTGTACACACTCTAAAACTGAGGTTGGTGGTGGTATTATGAGAACATACACTTTCCTGAGAAGGCTAACAAGGAAATCTGGCTAAGATCAGTCATAAAAGCAAATAACAGAACTTTCAAATTCAACTCTAAGATCATTTTTTTTCCTAAAATGTGCCCCAAACACAAAATGATAATATGTCCTTGTCTGCCTACTGGATATTCCCAGTTTATAGCTTTTTGTCCTGATGTAATTATTAACAGCACCCTCCTTTGTCTCAAGGGTCATGATTTAAATAACCAATCCAAAACTGGGAGTGGTTGTCCATGCCTGTAATCAGAACTATTAGGGAGGCTGAGGCAGGAGGATTGCATAGAGCAATTTCACAAATCTGTCTAAAAAAAAGAAAAAAGAAAAAAAAGAGTGGGGCATATTGGCTCAAATCCCAGCACTCTGGGAGATTTAGGCAGGAAGACTACCAATTTGTACCCAGCTGGGCAATACAGGATTTCAGCAAAACCCTGTCTCAAAATAAAAAGTGAAAAATGGCTGGGTATGAATCTCAGTACTAAGACTTTGGGTTTAATCTTCAGAATCAAAAAAGAAAAATCAGAAGAATCAGAATCAGAAGCATCAGAAAATAAAAAAGCAGAAAAATGGTTTAAGGAATTTTAAGTAAAAATACAACAAATCTATGGTAATCAGCAATTTCATCTACCATTCATCACCTGACTACATTTTACTCATTTCCCCCTACTTTCTACCATTCAAATTTAAAATATCAAGTAAGTACTGTAACTTCAGGGCCCCTGAATTATCATATCCCTGGATAAATGACATGGCTTACAGCCACTGTTTTGGTTGGTTGTTTATAAGAGTTGTGGTTTATCAAATCACAGAATTACATTAAAGATGAAGGAAGAACTGTGCTACTTGAGTAACCGCGTGACAATAGTGTAGAACTAGTTTGGATGCTGATACACATGACATTTCACTTCATTTGACTAAATCCCCTGCTCAAATGCTACCTCATCAAAGATCTCGTCCCTAAACTTTTACCTAAACAAAACAAAGGCCTCTTCCTTTACCACTGTCCAGCAGAAACAATTTAGTTCTCTGAAGTATTTATTTACACAGGTATTTAAATACTGTATACATGGTCTTTGTTAGACATGTGGACCCTAACCTGAGCCTAGTTAAAAAAACAAACAAACAAAAACTGCTGGTTGGTTGAGACAGGGTCTCCCTATGTAGTTTTGGAGGCCTTGAACTCAGTATGCAGCCCCAGGCTGGCATCCAACACAGGACCATCCTCTTGCCTCAGTCTCTGGAGTGCTGGGATTACACATACATACCACCAAGCCCAGCCAAAAATTGTTGAATTCTGCTACCATTCATGCAAAGGCGACTCCTGCTCAACATTTTATCCTAAAATTCTTTGCTATCTAAAGTATAGTTTGATAATCACCAGCATCAGGAAGCTTCTCGAAAATGCACAAATATGGCCCTCACTGAGACCTCCTGAAATCAAAATTAGGATTTTAACAAGATCCTCATATGTACATTAGGTGTAAGAAACACTTCTAATTCACTGATTCCTAACCCTAATGGCACATTAGAATTACCTAGGAAGCTTCTGAAAATACAATGCTCTTATGTAATTTTTAGAGATTCTGATCTAATTGGTTTTAGTTTGGTGACCCAGAAATTGGTATTTTCAGGTATACTGTCTCCCTGAAAGGGTAAATAAGATACAAAATCTTCAATAAATATTGTGAAAGGGTAAGAAACTGCTCAAAGAGGAAAAAATAACTCAGGGAAAAAGAGAAAAGATAGAGAAACAAAATAAGATATAAATTTGTATATATATACAATTACGGGTATATATACACTAAGATGATTATACTACTAATTCTATTAGTTCTTGGAACAAAACAGGTAACATCTGTAGGATTAGATCAATTTTGCATGACTACATCTGGTAATTCAAATAAGACTTATGAAGACAACTATGCAAAACAAAAATTGCTAACATTCCTACCACCTTGTTTTGAAAACCTACATTGTACTGTCTTGGGCTCTTAGATATAATTATTTATTGTTTTGTTTTTCCTCTAATATGGAAAGGAAAGATGTACACGTATATGCTTATATAAGCCTAGAACTTCACCTGAAGAGTTTACAAGAATTGATTTTAGTGTGTGTGATAGTATGAACAACTACAGTAAAGAAAACCAGACACAATGGTAGCCATTGATGGCTTCCTATTATTTTGATTCAAAAGCCAATAATGCTTTTATTCTTGGTTTTGATTGGTTTTTAGTCTGTTTTTAATTACTTGATTTCAATATTCATGAAGATATGGATAGCTATTTTGAAGAAAACAAGAGACATTATGGTAGCCATTATTGATTTCCTAGTGTCTGGTCTTGAAAGCCCTTAAGGCTCTCATTCTTGTGTTTTGATTGCTTTTATACTATTTTGATATGTAATATTTATTCTGTGTTAAGGTATGGACAACTATTTTGAAGAAAACAAGAGCTACTGTTGATTTCCTACTGTCTTTTTCTGAAATTCTGTGTTATTTGCATTGTTTTACTCTGTTCTACTTTGTTTTGTTTTCTTTTGTTTCATTCTCTTTTTAAAAAAATTTTAAAAATGTTTTACTCCAGAAATTGGTATTTTCAGAAATTTTCCCAGAAGATCCTAATATGAAGCCTTAACATGCAGATTGAGCAGCACTGCTCTAATTTAATCACAATAAATACAACTTTCCCCCTAATTTCATTCTCTCTCTCTCTCTCTCTCTCTATATATATATATATATATATAATATATATATATATATATAATATATAAAATATCCTCTTTTTTTTTAAACTCTTCTTTCTTTAACTCTGGAGATGTACAGTTTAGTATGGTAATAACCTGCCATAGTGACACTGAAATTTTTTCAGTACCAGGGATTCAACCCAGGGCTTTATG